TCGCCTCCATGCCGCAGAGAACAGCACCACAGGAAGCCTTCAGTGGAAGGAAGTCATTCGTAATCAGGCTTCGTTTGAGAAATCTCTTTCCTTTCTCTCAGATTGATGGAAATTCACAGGAATGTGGATTTGGGACCTGAGCAATCATTTCGTTCAACTCCCTTCCTTTTACAGATAAGGAGACTGAGTCAGAGAGAGATTTCAATATCACACAAGTACTAGGTGGCAGAACCAAGATTTGAACCCACGTCTTTTGACTCTATCCAAATCCAGCGCTCTATCTACTACCCCATGCTGCTCTCTGTCTATTTGAAGTTCTAGGAATTGCAAGAGACAGAAGTGGCAACTGCCTTTTTATCAGGCCCCTTTCCAGATGAGTTGGTCTATCAGGACGCCTCTTTTGATTAAGTGTCACGGGCAGGTAGTGAGCCGCGTTCAGAACTGAACAGCAGGACCAGGGTAGGTTGTATCGCAGGCAGTGCTTAGGGTGATCCCAAGCCAGGCCCTGCCACAAAAGCCTCTCTTCTTGACACCAGGATTTTCTGAGGGAAGCTCTAAGGCTGGTGAATCATTTACCACCACGAGTTCCTAAAAATCACAGCTGCATAGAACCCTAAAAAAGCAGGGGAACAGAGAATGGAGGGTAGGGCAAGAACGGCTTTCCCGAAAGACGTGGCCTCGATGACGTCAAGGAAATGTAGAACTGAGAAAGGAGGCGCACTGGTCACACAGTGAGAGTGAGGGCTAACAGGCACATGGAGATCGCGAGCGCTGCTCGAATCTAAACAAAATGACAAAAAGAATCAGAGCGGTGGAAGTCCTGCAGCATGCTGCATGGACCTTTGGAGGCGTATTTATGGAAAGGCACGAACAAGGGAGAAGAAAGAACGAATGAGCTATGGTCTGCATGATGCAGGGAGTGCCCATGTCGATTGTCAGCAAGCACTTATCCAGCATTGACAAAGTGTCAGGCACGGCGCTAAAAATTCTAGGGGTGCAAAGAAAAGACGAAAACAATCCCCTCTCTCAGGGAGAGATAGTTAACACTTCATACATGATGACATCATGGATCCATGGAAATACCGAAGTATACAAATGCCATTGTTGGGGTAACAAACTGGGTACCCTTGGTGGACGTGGTCAAGGGAGAATTTGTTTTCTTCAACTGTGCTATGGATATTTGTTATAAAGACTTTTTTTTCCTTTCTTTTTTAACTGGGGAGGTAGGACAGGATGGGAGAACCACAGACCATAGCATCCCCAGGATTTTATACTATTCATATAGATTCCTACTTTGCTAAAGGTGGAAGGGACCTTAGAGAGATCATTCAGTCCAAGCTTCTGTAAAAAAAAAAAAAAAAAAAAAAAGAGGACCAAGGCACACATAAATGTAGTTAGTTAGATGGCTATTCAGTCCTCTCCCCTCAGACACCCTGCAGGGACACCCAGCTTCTTGCAGGAGAGGGGACTAACCCAGTCCTCCAACTCAATACCATGTATATGCAATCTGAGCCATATGTATTCAATGTGGAAATCTCTAAAGCAAGAGGCATAATGCATGAAGTACCAGTCCTGGAATCAAGACTATGAGATGCAAGTCTGAATTGGTAATGGGGGTTTCACACAGGAAGTTTCCCATAAAAATGTGTTCACCATGCAACCAAAAAACTCAATAACCTTAAAAAGTATTATACCAATGCAAGCTGTTATTCATTATCTTATTAGCATTCTACTTTAATGAATTAAGAAAAGAAGGCCCAATAACATCAGGGAAATGGACAGGTTCTTTTAACAGTGTGAGTTGAACAGTTAAATAATAAGAATAATGGCATATGACTTCATTTGAAAGCACTTTCCTCAATACAACGAAATGAGGCAGGAAGGGCAAGTATTATTCTCCCCATTTTTTGGAGGAGGAAACAGAGGCTTAGAAAGAGAAAATGACCTGCTCATGGTTACACAACTTGTAAGGGGTAGAGTCAGGATTCAAAATCCATTTGCCTAATGCATAATGGTAATAACAGAATTGTGGGATTTTGAGCTAAAAAGGACCATTGAGAATAAATAAAAGCTCTTTATTAGAGCAGGAATACAAAGCAATATGGATATTAGGAGATTTAAGCCAGGCCCGCAAGTCAATCTTCATGAGAAAAAAATCAAATTGTCCAAATTAGCTTTGGGGGATCTCACAGAACCCCTCATTGCGTTACTCCAAGCAGTCTTCTCAGTTCCCTGTTCACACACTCCTCTATACAAGAGCTGGTTTCCCTTCACTTCCCTTCTTAGGCTGCTTTGTAAGCCTGGGTAGCAGATCCTGTTTTCCCAAGTGCTTTCTCCTTCCTAGCTCTGCCTGGGGCTTTCCCATAGGCAGGAGTTTCCTCTGTTTGGTTTCCCTCTGTCTGATTGAAAAGCTTTCTGAAGCAGCCCAGCTTCCTAAATGCGGACACTGGGGAGAGAGGCTGGGGCACAGATAGGCCAGCTTTCCATTATGATGTGCTTGGCGCTACAGGAATACTGATTCAGTGAGGAGAAACTTTAAAAAGCATTGCTATTATTTCAAAATGGCAAAGAGCTGGGGGTTAGGGACAGGGGTTCTAGGCTGGGCTACACCACTGTGGTGCTATTTGACCTTTTGTAAGTCATTTCCCCTCTTTGGCCCTCAGTTTCCCAATCCCTCATATAAAGGGGTTGTATTAGATGATCCCTACAGTCCCTTCTGTCCCTGATATTCTGGGATTCCAGCAGCCTATGCCTCTATAGTCCATTATGAATGCAAAGAGAGCCATGCCACCTGCAGCTCATTCTCTGACTATAGATCTTATTTTAAAGGACAAAGAACAGAAATTGTTCAAATTTTCCTAATATTTCAGGCTATCCAGGAAGACAAGACTAGTCTCATGTATGGCCACTTCTCCTCCACCTTACCCCTTGTTGGCCTCTGGCCCTAATCCTCTGTGGACCAACAGAAGTTGCCTCAGGAGATGACCCCACACAGGTCATCAACCTGAGGGAAACTCCATTAACAGCAGGGTGCAAGACTCCGTAAAGAGACACTCTGCAATGATGAATATGCCCCTGATTTCACCATACAGCCTCTCATCCGGCCACCATCACGCACCCTCTAACTCCAGCCCCCACACCATTCACGTAGATTTATAGTTTGTTAGAGGAATAAGGGACCTTAGAGACCATTTAATCCATTTAAAAAACAAGGGAACGGTGGCTCCAATACACGTAGCCAATGTTACCTGGTGGTAGAGGGGGTAAAGGTGGGGGTGGGGGAGAAAACTGAGCCCCCCCCCCACATAATCATGCACAACCATTACAGGAACTAACCCTATCCCACCCCCAACCCAATAATACATATATCCAACTCGAAGCAATCAGCAGAGGTACGTACAGTGGCATACACAAATGTGTAGTGGAAAGAGCATTGGACTGGAGTTCAGCTCTAGTCCAACACTTACGTCTCACTCCTGGCTGCTCTGTGCCTCAGTTTCCCGACATGCCCAATGAGATAGTTGGGCTAGAGAATCCCTCAAGTCTCTTCCAGGGCTGATCTCACTCATCTGGGAGACAGACTCCCCCTACTCTACGCCGGCATCCTTCCGCCCCTTCCCTGCCCCACCCCATGGAAAATACGTTACCTGGCTAAGAAGAGAATGATCCCAAGGCTCCCACCCCCGCCACCTCAGTCCTCCACTCCACATACAAAGAATCCAGACTATCGAAGATAGAAGGGTTCTTAGAACACAGTTTTAGAGCTGGAGGGACCCCAAAACACAAAACGTCAGAGCCCGAAGAGATCTTGGACCACAACACAGAATGCAAGGAATAGAAAGACCTTAGACATCATGTAGCCCAAGCCCCTCATTTGATGGATGGGGAAACTGAGGTCTCGGCTTAGCCATTACCTGTTTCAGAGGGGGATCGACCTCCCAAACCACACACACACACACACACACACACACACACACACACACACACGACATCTCTCCCGCAGTGAGTTCTCTGTCCTCCACCTCCCAGTTCCCCTTCACCCCCGCGTCCTGCGACTGCAGCAGTTCCCGCACTGGCCACCGCCCCCAATCCCCAGGCCTGGCCCGGAACAGCGAGGGGAGGGGATGTGACCTCCCCTCGAAGCCCACGTGTCCCCCCGCCTCCCTCATGCTCAGGAGCTACCCCAGCCCGAGTCCAGTCCCGGGTCCAGCCCTACCGCAGCCCCGCGGGGACAGAGCACCTACCGGCTGCTGGAGGGTCCGCCCCCCACAGCCTCCTGTCCCCCAGGCGCTGCCAGGGCCCAAGACAGGCTGTGCCAACCGTCCCCCCCCCCCGAGCGGAGACCGAGAGTCTGCAGCCGATGCTGCCGCTACAGCTACCGCCGCCGTGCTGCCAGCAGCTGCCTGCGCCCCCCCACCCCACCCCCCTCCGCCCCCTCGGGTGCCAGGCGCAGAATTTACAGATCAGAACTGGAAGGGGCCTCAGACATCCGTTAGTTCAACCTCCTTATTTCACACATGGGGAAACTGAGGCCCCGAAGGGAGAAGGGACTTGCCCAAGGTCACACAGCTGGTAAGTGGCTGAGCCTATAATCGAACCCAAGGGTCCTAACTCCATGTCCTGGGTTCTTCCATGATACTACACTATCTTTAACCTCAGATCTCTCTTCTTCCTCCCCCTTTCCCCTCTGGCCCGGGTCAGACCAGTCGCTGAGGGCTCTCCCTCCTTCCCAGGGCATCTTTCTCATTCACCCTCACTCTTCTCTCCCTCTCCCACTCCCATCCCTCTCTTTCCTTCCGAACCTTACCTCTCCCCCTCCCCCCGCCCACTCCTTCCCCTCTTCTTTCCCTCTCCCCTCTCCACTGCCCAGTCCCTGGACCCAATGCTCACAGCGGGTCGGTCTGGTTAGGTGCCTTCCCACAGTTCCCAGTGAGCTGATGCCGCCTCACCGCCCCCATCCATCCCTCCCTTCCTCCATGGTCCACTCATTCTCTGCTCACCTCGGATCCCCACTGAGCATGGTCCTTCTTCAGAGCTGGGATCCCCCCTCGCCAATCTCGAGAGGTAGGAGTTCCTGGGTCTTTTCAGCTGTAAGGAAAAGAGGCTTCAATTTGGAGCGATAAGATCTGGGTTAGAGTCAGGACAGCGTAGTTGAAGTAGACTATGCTGGAAATCTTAGTAACATTGGATTTGAGGGCTTCTAGTCCAACCTCCTTGTGTTTTTGCAGATGAGAAAGCTGAAGCCTAGAAAGGACAAGTGATTTGCCCAAGGGCACACGGGTTGTAAAAGTCAGAGCTGTGATTTAAACCAAGGTCTTGGGACTTTCGGTTCAGTGTGCTTTCTCCTACTCTTTGCTGATTACTGGACCTTAAGAATTTAGAGTTGGAATAGACCATCGAGATCAAAGGCATGGATGTTTATTAGCTGTGTGACCCTGGGCAAGTCCTTTGATTTCTCTGGACATGAATTTCCCTATCTGTAAAATTAAGGGGTTTAACAAAGTGATCAATAAGGATCTACCCTTTTGGAATACTCAGAGAGTCTCTGAGGACTCAGAAAGGTAGGGATGCCTTGAAGACCAGGAATAAATAACTCTGATGGCTGCAGTCCAGGCAGAATTCTCTTTCAAAGAGAGTGCACTTGTAGCCCTCTTATCCCAAGGTGCGGCTGTGGCAGCCCGCAGACTGCCCTCCTTTCCTACCATTTTATAGATTTTATAGATTTTATAGATTATAGATTCACACTTCCTAGTGTGAAACAGTGGGGAAAATCTTGAGTTGGGGGTCACAAATGCTCACAGATTTTTCATCTGCTTGCAAAAGGTTTTCTTTGAGCCTTGCCTACTGTCCTCAGCAGCATCTGAATTCCTCCCCTCCTCTTCCCCACCCCCACCCCCACCCCCAATCAGTCTACTAGTCCCAGGATAGAAGAATTGGAAAACTATCTGCTTCCTCCCATTAAAAAAAAAGTTTTCAGAATGGTCTCTTCTAAATCAAATTAAGTTTTGAATTAGGGGTAATGGGCTTCTTTCTTTCCTTCTTTCTTCCCCTCTTAGAGTGGGCTAAATCTGCAGTGGACACCCCAGGAGGCAAGGAGGAAGCTATGTGGGGGTAGGAGGGTGGGGAGATGGAGGTAGCTCTGGCCTAAGAGGCAGGGAAATTGAGCTTGGTATTGGCTCCCATAATAATTTGCTTTTTGAAAATGAGGCCATTGCACTAAATCTTGAGGGTCCCTTCTCTATGAGATCTTGTGGTTTTAGCTCTGATTCTTCCAGTAAATAGCTGTGTGACCTTGAGCAAGTCACTTCTCCTGAACCATACTTCCTTCTCTATAAAAGGAAATCGGACTAGATGATCTCTAAAGTCCCTTCAAACTCAGAAAGTCTGTGATTCTATGAAGTGACATTGTTCTGGGTACAGCAATGCAGCCTAAAAAAATAATTTTCTTTATTCAGAGGTTGCTGTGGCTGGGTGAAGGTTTGATAAGAGCAGTTCGAAGAGCTGTGAATAACGGTTACTTCTGAAGAGCTAATGAGTATGTCAAAGCATAGAGATAACAGGTAGCAACTGGCTTTGATGGCACAGCCCAGATGAACAGTGAGATGTCACAGGAGCTGTCTGACATAATGAATGCTATCATTTCAGAATCCACTGAACTTATTTCTCTCCTATTTCTTTTCCCTATTGTTCCCTCTTTCCTGATCATCATCTTGTTTCTGTTTCTGGGTTCAAGTCCTACTACTTGTCATTTGTGTGACCTTGGTCATGTCCCTTTCCCACTCTGACCCTCAGGTTCTTTATCTAGAATAATAGTAATCCTGGTATTTAGATACTACCTTAGTTTTTTGTTAATTTTATTTATCTTTTATTTTTATATAATCTTTTCTAAATATGTCCCTTGCATCCTTTACCCAACAAGTCAGCCCTTGGAACAAAGAATGAAAGAGAAAGGAAAAAAAATGGTTCATCAAGACGAACCAAGCCACCAACCGGTCTGACAGAATAGGCATTTTGGACACTTATAGTCCCACCCACCTCACCCACCTCTGCAAAGATAGGAGGGAGCTGTGTTTTCTCATCTCTTCTATGGCAAACTAGATGGTGCTCTATGCCATCACAGAGCACTCAGACCTGCAGCCAGGAAGACCTGAATTTGAATACTGCTTCAGATACTTCCTAGCTGAATGACTATGAGCAAGTCATTTCACCTCTCTCAGCCTCAGTTTCCCTGGTCAGTAAAATGGAGATAATCATAGCGCCAACCTCACAAGGCTCTGAGGGTAAAGGAAAATAATATTTGTAAAGTGCTTCATAGATCTTCAAGTGCTGGGTAACTGCCTGCTACTATCGCACGGAAATAATTTTCTTCTTTGTTGTTGTTCTTCCATTTGCATTGTTACAGTCATGTGTATTGTTTTCCTGATTCTGTTAATTTCACATGGCATCAATTCATGTAAATATTCTCATACTTCTTTGACTTCTTCGTATTTGATATTTCTTATGGTTCAGTAATTCTGTCACATTCACCTTCAACTCTTTCCTAACCATAGCACCATAGAATTATAGATTTGGATCTTGAAAGAATGTCAGAGGCTATCTAGTTCAAATTCTTCATTTTACAGATAAGGAAACTGAGGCAAATGGAGGTTGTGATTTTGTTCAAGGTCATACAAGGATCAAGTTTCAGGTCTAGAATTTGAACTGGGGCTAGGACTATGAGTATCTACTTTTCTTCTGCAACTTTACCACCATAAAGAATTGCTGTTATGAATATTTGGGTGTATACAGGAACTTTCTTTCTGTCGTTGACCTTCTCGGTATATATACCTTGCCATGGGATCTCTGGGTCAAAGGATATGGACATTTTAAATACCTGCCTTCATTGAGGAGCAAGTGAAGACATAGAGGCAAACTAGAGAAACAGGAGATGTTATTCTTATTTCTTCTAGTTTAGAGAAGTGAAGATCTGCCTAGAAAGCTCCTGCCAAATGGGAACTAGTGAATTTTCACATTGTGATGTTGATGATGCCCAGGAATCAGAGAGATGGGATGGGCTTGGCCCAGCCGGATGGAACGTCTCTGGGATTCCTGCCCCTCCTCCTGGTACCAGCTCACTCTGGCTAGTAAACAACCTTACATTTATATAAGCACTTCATAGTTTTTAAAATGCTTTCCTCAAAATGGTCCTGTGATGTGGGCAATGCAAGTGTTATTAGCTTCAGCTTAAAGATAAGTCATAGCTCCCATTTCCCCAGCATTTTTCAATTCAATAAACATTTATTAATTGCCTCCTATATGCCAGGCACTGCACTAAAAGGTGAGACACTATATAGTCCTACAAGCACTTAGCAGATTTTTCAGTAGAATTTTTCAATTACTAAGCATTTATTTTCTTTTTTGAGATAAAAAAAAACAAAACTCTTTAGACAAATATGCATAGTCAAGCAAAACAAATTCCCACGTTGGCCATGCCCCCCAATGTGTCTCATTCTACATTTCATGTTCATTATTTCTTTGTCAGAAGGTAAGTAGCATTCAGCACTTGTTTTTGTTTTGGTTGGTTTTTGGTGAGGCAATTGGGGTTAAGTGACTTGCCCAGGGTCACACAGCTAGTAAGTGTCATGTGCCTGAGGCCAGATTTGAACTCGGGTTCTCCTGGCTCCAAGGCCAGAGCTCTATCTACTGGGCCACTGAGCTGCCCCATCGCCTAATTGTTTTTAAAGTGTTTTCCTCACAACAACCCTGACTGTGCCAGAGAGGTTAAGAGAATCACTGTCCCTATTTTATAAGTTGAAAAACTAAGGTCCAGTGAGGGGAAGTGACTTGTTAAGAGTCACACAGTTTGTATATAATTAATTCAGTGACTGGAAACAGGTCTCCTGACTATGTCCAGCATTCTTTCCACTATAAGATGTTCTCCAACAGTCAGTGGTGGGTGACTCTGTCCAGCACTTCCTGCTCTCTGAGGACTGGTTCATAGCCAGGACCCAGAAGAAGCATCAGAGGATGGAGCCTAGGTACCAATGGATCCCAGGCACCAAGGAAAATCCAGGCACCTGGGCTCTGAGCACCTGGCACCTAGAAGAGGCATGGGGCTTCAACCCAGACAGTCTTTTTCCAAAAGTTCCTAAATGTCTCCTTTAGCACAGTATTGGGGTACTTGGGTATATGTCATGTCAAAAGCCATAGAAATCTCTTTATGTTAGGAGTCTGTCATGCTCTCCAGTGCCTTTGATTAATTTCACCCTACCTAAAAACCCCAGAACAACCAGTTTGGCTCAATATGCCCTTAGTTCACTGAACTTCACCTGCCCTTTGACCTATCTATCCCACCACAGCTGGGACTTAGGCAAAATAGAGATGTCATAGGAAGAGCACTGAATTTGGAGTGAGAAGACCTGGGTTTTAACCCTAGCTTTTCCATGTATTAGCTGAGTGTCTTTGGACAAGTCACCGTGGAGCTCAGGTTCCTCATTTTTAAGGACCCTTAGAACTTCAAACTCTTCAGTCCTGTGATTTTTGTGATACTCCGAGGAGCAATGCCTGGAAGTTGCAGAGAGGTAGATTTCAACTCAATTAAAGGGGAAAAGTGTAACAGGCCTCTTTCAAAGTGCAGTGGGACATCTTGGGAGGTGGTGAACTTCTCATGGTCGAGAGTCTTTGAGGGGAGACCACATACCAGTTGTCAAGGAAACCGAGGGGAGGGTGCCTGTTCAGGTATGGGTTGGACTAGAGTCCTCGGAAGTTCCTTCCAACTCTGAGATTCTTTGAAACCATATCTATCTATCCTTGCTTTGCCTTCTTCATAATCATCAAATGAATCATATGATTGTAAAGCACTATACAAATGGGAACTATTGTGAATATAATTATTCCTAATAACAAATGAAACTGGGCTTTACCTCAGATGCTTCTTCCCCCAGGAACCAACCCCATCATTCTGCATCTCTGAAATATGGTGGGAGAGGCATAGGGAGAAGGGATTGTAAGGTCCATAATAGTGAAGACTGTGTCTTATTTAAACTTTCTATTTCTTCCAGGGCTTAGCACGGTGCTTTGCCCACTTTGTAATTGAATTG